TGTAAAGTGGTGTCGTTGTTTCAACACAGCGACTCTGCCTCGGTGGAGACTCTCAGCGCAGGCGGCGTCAAGCTGGTGTACCCAGCAGCGAACATGCTCGCCCGACCGTGCACCATGGCCCGCTTACAACACCTGTCCGTTCACCACCACTCCTTGGCGCCGCAGACGAATCGCCGACCGGGGAGCTGCTAAGCTCCAGGGATGAACTGCAGATTAAGCGCCCAGGGCCACGCTAGATTGCGGGCATGCTCAGCGATCCCGCGCCGTGCGTGCCAGAGACACGACACTGGATCCTCTAGAACAGCCATCGCTGGGAATCTGGGTCCATGTGCCGTCTAACGGTGCGAACACCTTCGCTATACTCTACTACTCTGATGCCGTCCCGGACAGAACAGACGGCTGCAGCACCCTCCAGAGCCTAGGTAAGCACTCCCTTGGCATCGTCTATTCACCCAGCATTAGTTCCTCGCATGGCGAACGTTGCTGCAGAAGACTAGGGCCAGGCCTCCATGAGACGCTAATGCACCCTCCCCCAAAAGGCTCTATCAGCTGCGCTGAGACAGCAGCAGTGTGTGCGGCACAGCCAACATGCCCGTCTAGCCGTTTGCTCTGTCTCCAGTTCCAGCCCCATCGACAATCGACGTGGCCGACTTGCATCAAATGGATGCCTCAATGGTGTGATGAATTCCTCCTCACAACGGTCCGTCGACACATGGCATCTCAAGAGCCTCTTCTTGCTATATCTGTAGGATCGTCATCGGTATCACATATCCGCTAGCTCATCTCCAGATTCTACAAGCGTGTCAGCGTCTCCGGTTACCGTCTGCTCGGATGCTTAGATTGGCCAATTGCATCTCCAACTTTTTGACTTGCACACGAAAGCACAGAATTTTCCCTTACTCCAACCTACCACAGTTCACGCCGCGCAAGTCTCCAATATTTTACGCTGGTCTGACCTACTGGCCTACAGGCAGCCACCTTGTCCGTCTTCACAAACACACGAGCTGCCCTTCTGCGTGCGACCTGCGCCGCTCCCGCGTTTGACATTAGCCGCGCCCAAGGCGGCTTGCCAATAAGCGCCGTGGAGCACAGGTCTTTCTCTCGGTCTTTGTATGACCGACAGGCACAGAACAATCTCCCAGATGACTGACAGGAGGCTGCAGCTTCGGCTTGCATGACTCCCTGCACACACCTTAGTGACCGATGTGAATGTGTCCTTGAGACTAATTGTACTCAATCTGGATTCTGTGGGTGATACTAAAACTTACATCATAAGGCACGCTACGTTGGTCTACTAGTGGTAGTCTTCCTTCGAGGAAGGTGTCAAACATACCTGGTGTCCCACTCGCGTTGATAACTTTGCGTAGACATCCAACCGAAGCAACCCCGCTCTCACGTTATCGGCGCTTACTCCCACCGTCTCTTTGGCAAGCATCTCCACCACCAACGGTACCCTCCTAAACTGGTTCGGGTACTGGCATCCAGATAGCTCCAAGCATTCAAGATCATAGCAAAGGGCGGCCTGAAAGCGATCCCGGCTAGCGACAGCCACGCGACATCCCAGCGTGCCGGTACGATCACTACCCGAAAAGCTGACTTTTTTTTTGTTCTTCACCATTGTCAATTCCCTAAACAGGAAAACGAGCATACAAGCGAGGTCCACCAACAATGGCATGGTAACAGACATCTCGATCTTAAACTGCTTTGTCATCGAGTGTTGCAATGACCTCCAACAAGCGGGGTTCGCCCTACCAACAGCTACACTGCCTTGCGGTTCTTGTTTTTTCATGTCAGGCCAGACCGTCTTTGCAGACTCTTACCGTTCAGAAGATCATGCGAATCACGATGAAGAGATCTGAAGCCACCGCTCTTTCCATGACGCTGCTCATAGCATGAAATCTCCGAGGGGCTCAGCTATTTAGGAACACTCCCTCCCGTTCCGGGCGCTTCTGCAATCCATAGAATGTGCTTTTCGGGTGATCGTCAGCCCTAAAAAAAGCACATCGACGCCTCAGAATCAGAGATACTGTTTGTTGCAGTCTGCCTTAGACAAGCACAGTGTATGTACAGCCTCGTGCGACTGGCGCTGTGCGGCATCATGGAGGTTCAATGTTTCACTACGTCTTGAACGTACGCCTCTGTGTAGGTGATCACCAAACAATGCATGGAAGCCGATGTCATGTGTCGCGTAATAGCACTGGGTCTTGCAATACACCACTGCCAGTCGTAGCTTCCTCGACGCATTCACCCTATGCAAGAGAAAAATCGAACAGATAGAGATAGTAAACTTTACTTTGCAGCTTACATTAGCTCCTAACAAGAGAGATTATAGGGATTAATAGTATTGTAGGCTTCTAGGTTCTCTATGTATGTCTATATAGCTCTAACACGCTTTATTGTAGTAGGAAGAAGTACTCTGCTTAAACGAGATATTGAGTATCTCTCTTTGGCGTAGTGCATTCACTAACAAAACTCTTGCATGTATGCTTGCTGAATACAGTGAGAGGTGAAAACAACATTTGATCCAGAACACGATTACAAGCGCCTTCTAAGTTGCTCAAGACCAACAGCACACTAATGTACCACTTAGTATGCATTGTTAGGATCAAGGAAGCTTTACTTCCAGTGGTCGTTCCATTCCTTTTCCAACGCCGTCATGTTGTCTTGAATAATAGCCGCCTGCATAGCCTTTTCGCTAGCCTTGGCCATTTGCGCATTCGTCGCACTCCAATCAATCTATACTACTATCAGCCTTGTTCTATTAAGTCATAACCATACGCCAATCCACCGAGTACTCACTGGGGGTCCGATCCATCCGCTGACAGTCCATTGCGTGCTAGCCATCCTAGCCTGCGATTGAGCGATCCTCATCTGACTCATATGCATATTCTCTTGCATCTTAAGCTGCTGGAACTCTTGCTTCATGCGTGCAAGCTGAATATCCAATTCTTGCATCTTGTTGTTTCGTGCCTGAATCTTCTGCCGAAAAGTTGACAGGTCATTGGTACGGCAGGCGTCTGTGAAGTAGGTCTGAAGGCGGGGAGAGTAGAGGTCACACATGAAACCACCAGGGTGTGGTTCTTGAGCCCTGAACTGTGAGAGGATCGCTGGTCGCGGTGAACTGGAGTAGAGAGGCTCAACGTGTTTGAGGTAACAGTCTTCACAAGCGGTGAACTCGGATGCCATGGATGACAAGCAGTATTGTTTCTCTCCTTTGACCAAATTCCCCTTTTGGCAGACAGGGACTGGTGCCCATTTCTTGACAAAATCAATCAGTGGTGTAACGTCCCGGGTTTGGGTTTCCAGTGTACTCTCTGCAACACTGGCGATCTTGTCAACATACTCTAAACACCGTTGTTGTCCATTTCCTTGAGTCATAAGGTCGCAGGTTGCAAGCAACGCTTGTCCATCCGCAATTGGCGCAAAAATCCGCTTCAGGCAAGGAAAGATGATGTTGATATGCGCAACGCAGTCCGAACAGGCCGTCATTTCCTCAACCAGCGATCCGGTCTTTGGGTCTCGAAGAGAATACCATGTCCTCGTTACGGCCGGCTTCCCCCCTTTTTTGACCTCTGTATCCTCCATGTTGAAGTTTGGGCAAATACCATCCTTGTCTCTCTGAATACTTGAAATTTCGCCCAGCAAGCTCAGATCAGGCTGGCCCTGTTGGAAAAGCCACATGTAGGCTAGTCTTACCCATAAGAACGAGAAATCGCACATAGTCTGAAGTTGAGGGTTTGCCGGTTTGGCAGATTGTGCAGAAATAAGGGAAGCATAGCGAGTACCGCGGAAAGATGTGTTATAGCAGTCCGGACAGATGTCAAAATTTGAGATTCGTCTTGGTGAACTGATTTGCAGCCAGTCATTGTGTCCTTGTGTAAAGCTCGACCGCCCGCACAACCCAAGCGTTGGGTACTGTTTCGTCTGCGGTGTTCCTGACTGTGAAGACGATGAATTTCGAGGCGGGAGAGGTGGGGGCCGAACCTAAAGATTGGTGTAGGAAATCAGTACATGTCTCGCATGCAGTTCATACCGGAACATCACTAACCAGAGGCATGTCTTGTATGGAAAGATATCTAACTGAATAGAATGATGGAAAAGCCACCAGCAGGACATCCGATAGTGAAAACGATGTTTTGCTAAGACGGAAGAGACCACCTATCTTTTGGCGTCTGAATACTTCTAGGCTACATAATGAGTAGCTTGCCGAGGCCCTTAGCTGAAGAGGCTGAAAAGTCGTCCGAACACGATACCGGTGAAGGCCAGCCCCGCAATGAGCGCCCAAATCAAGGTCATCGAAGCGCCACGCATGTCGGACCTTCTACATGCGTTGCGCGTCAAAGTGTTTTGTGCATGCGAAGTGGAGAGATCGACGGGCTGCGGCCCATTGAATCATGAATAAATTCGATGGCGGCCAATGGACTCATGCAATCAGCGACAATGAAAACGTCTTGTGTTGATGATTGCGGAATTCAGCCGTGACAGTAGTCTTTGCAAAGCAGTGGTAGTTTGCGGGATGGCGGTAGACGCATGATCTGCTCTGCAAGAAGTGTCGGAGCCGAGCGGTTGACACCACGCCATTCGCTACGGCTCTCGCTTGCCCTTCACCAGAGTCAAGAGTATGAACAGCCACACTATTTTAGCTCAGCAAGCCTTGTATCATTGTGTATAAACTAAACGAGCGTGAAATGCCCGGGAGGTATTCGGCCGAACTGCATCCGAGCTCATGCAGGTGGGCACCTGAGGTTCACAAGATGTGTTTAGTTTCTCTCTTTGATGTAGTGCTAAGTAGCTTAATAAATTACATCTCTGCTACAAGCCTCATATTCTGCTCCTTGATCAGGGGCGAAAGAGAATCTACCAAGTGAACAGATCCAACAAGCCGCCTTGTGTAGTTTCGAGAGATAGGTTGAGTACTGCGGAAGGTAGATAGACCACTATATGCTCAATGATGTATTGTTTCTTGAAGATGATTCGACTCTGCTGCAAAAGAAAGTCGCTCACGTCGTCTTAGCAATACTAACAACGTTTCGCAAGGTGCCAAAAGGCAACACGTCGGCGATCCTTTTCTTACTAGCGAACAGCATGACCAGTCTGTCCAACCCACACCCCCAGCCACCAGTCGGCGGCATACCCCATTCCAATGCCTCGAGATAACTCTCGTCGATGGCGCCCTCACCCTCGGGATGGAAGTCACGCTGTTGAATGAACTTGCGACGCTGTTCGAACGGCGAGTTTTCTTCTTCGTATGCGTTGACATATTCGCGGCCGTGGATGAAGAGCTCCACACGAGATGCGACACGTTGTCCAGTGACCTCGTCAATGTATGACTTTGAGAGGGGAGAAAGTGCTTCCGGGTGTTGGGTGATGAATGTAGGGTTTTTACAGAGAGGTTCGATGTAGATCTCCGCGAGAGTATCAAGAAGACGTGGAAGAGTGGGATTGGGCGGGATGACGAGGTCCAGCTCACCAAATAGCTGTAACAGCTTGTCGGAAGCTTCCGATGATGATAGATCAGGTAGCTTGCAACCACAAGCTTGCTCGATTGTGGGTATGAAGGGCAATTGAGCAAAAGGCTGTGCGAAATCGATATCCTCCGGCGACGCTAGGGTAGGGAAGTACGTGGACCTCAATGACTCAATCGCGGTATGAAGACCGTGTACCAGTTGCTCTGTCCTGGCGACGACTGTGTGCAGGTTCGCGCCAACTTCGTAGAATTCGCAAGTTGAGAATTCTGGGTTATGGGTGTTGTCCACACCTTCATTTCTGAAGGCACGTCCAATCTCGAAGATCTTATCCTGTCCTCCAACAATCAGCCGCTTCAGGTTGAGCTCAGGTGCTATCCTGAGCCTAATAGGAGTATTGGATAGCTCATTTGCGACAGTCTCAAAGGGTCGTGCGATAGCACCTCCAGCGTTAACGTCGAACATGGGTGTCTCCACTTCCAAAAAGCCGCTCTGTATGAAGTACGTGCGCACGTAGTCATAGATCAGCGCCCGGAGACGAAGGACATCGCCAGGCTCGTCGCTTGTGAGCGCGTGAATGTGTGGTCGTCGCGCAAGTGTCTCGGCATCGTCAACCCTCTCTGGGAGGTGATGAAGGCATGGCGCGAGAATCTGGGGTACGTCGAGGGCGAGAATTGAGAGCTGTCCACTCGATGTCTTTGTAGGGTTACCGTTGATGGCTTTGCGGCATTAGAGTCTATTATCAAGCTTGACGGCTTCATCACTTACACACCCAGTCACCAACCCGGGCGACTTTCTTGAAATTCTTAAAGTTCTCATCAAGGCTGTCTTGAGGTGTGAGCTTCTTCAGCTCTACCATGACCTGCAATCGCTGTGTATCACGTTCAATATCGAGGAACATTAGCTTAGAGCCAAGCAGTCGCACTGAGCGCACCCTTCCTGACACTGTCAGAATCGGACCGGTGCTCACGGGTAGTGAATCATACCAAACACAGACACACGATCAGGAGTTGTTTCTTGGATGCCATCGTACTTGGCATTAAAATCACGTATCGATAAGTTTTGCGCATCCGCGGAATAAGCCAGCCTAGGGTGATAATCGTCCAACGGCTTCACCTTGCCCAGGTGCTCCAAGCGCTTCTGCTTCTCTACATCATGTGGGCCAGTATATGCATCGGCGGCTAGGCTCTGAACAAAGCGCCGCTGAACAGAGAGATATGCTCGCGCGTGTTCCGGTCTGATGGAGCGACTAGCCTGATGAAGGTATGGGCGGAGAAAGTTCAAGGTTGGCCGGCTCATGGTTCCTTTATCTCGTTAGCTACTAGTCGCAGAGAGCGTGTCATAATGAATATGTAGTGAAGACGGGTTCAGTAAAGGGTATGGTGAAGTCAACCGCCCGAAGGCGTCATTCGCAACGGTTCTAAGGTTGTTTTGGATCATCATAGGAAGGGAAGGGTTGTGGGCTACGGCGCTTGCGAAGCTTGACAGAGCTCAACGCGGGACTGATAATACATATCAATCGACCCATTGAGCGCTGGTAAGCAGCGCAAGGTAGCTGTGTATGCAATGGAATGTTGTAGACTTACCTTTCTCTGGAACATGCCTGTGACGGCACGTCGATGACAAGTAATGGATGGAATGTCGAGGTGAGAGAACTTTCACCTCAGACTGCCAAAGCTCGGCCCATCCGCAGTTGAGCCGTCAAGCGAGCGCAAAGCGGCTGTGCGTAGTCACATGATCCACTAGCGTGCCAAGAATCTTTGGGTTTATATTCTAGCTTTCCCCCAGCCCCAAATCTGGTGAGCATACTTACCTTCTTGCGACTCATCAAGCTCAACTATTTGATGGTCTGACAACGTCGCCTCCATTGCACAGCGGGGTGTGGTGTTGTCATGAATCTCCTTCGGGGGCTTCAGCGGGGCAATTTTTGCTGGTCTGCCACTGTGGCTTTTCTTTTTCATTGATTCCAGTGCCTTGTGCATTGGGTTGAGGAAGAAGTTTGACTGAATGACAAAGCGCGGCCATGATGTTTGAGGATGTCTACCCGACCAACTCAAGCCATCATCGTGCGGCCAAGGATGTTGTAGGATGTTTACCTAGACATCCTCAAAGTTATACTGGCGGCCGAGGATGTAGAGGGTTTAGTACAGGCAGGATCTTGAGCAGACCTGAGGGTGGCTAGAAAGCCAGAGCATTGTCAGGACATCCTGATTTTACTAGCTTTGGGGGTAGCTGTTTGTACCTATCTTCCTACTACAACAAATTATGTTACAGCTATATAGATATTTATAAAGAATCTAGAAGTCTACAATACTATTTATCTTCATAATTTCTGTTGTTAGGAGATAACGTAAGCTGCAGGGTAGACCTTATTATTTCTACCTGTTTGGTTTTTCTCTTGTATGGGGTACATGAACAAGACACCATGACTCTCAAATGCAAATAGCAGCCTAAAAGTTGTCGCTGACTTGGTCGAGCCATTCGTCTTACTGCTAACGCTCTTCAATCTGGCGCACATGGCAACAAACGAGGTGTCTGTACCTGCGTCAGCACTTACCCAGTCCGTTCACCAAGAGTTTGATGCATGTCAACTCCCCGGATTCTCAGCGTTTAGCAATGATCCGGATGCTCGATCTACCATCATGGTCCTCAGTTGCAAGCCTATAAGTCCTCGCGTTGCCGCTGGCTTGAAGCCCATCACTATTCTACCATGTATGCCTCCACGTCAACTCCAAAGGATCAGTTTCACATGCCTCTTACTCTTGCACGTCACGATTAATCCGGTTTGTCTCTCATATCGACACCCCGAGCTTAATACGACATCAATCCTATATGCCGAGCGAAGGCCGCTCCGAGCATACTCGGTGGTCTGGCCATAGCTCCCTGTCTAGCTCCAACGGCGAAACACGAAACGCGTGTTGCCCCGCCATGACATCGCCATGACGCTCGTCAGAATTCCCGTCATCAACGTCGATCTGCGCCAGCACATGGCATTTCCGAATCCGCACCTGTTCAGCTCGCGTAGAGCGGACTTGGACCCCTCCATGGCGTGTCATGACGTTAGGCTAGCCCTTCCAAGCGCATGTACAAGGGGGCGAATAATCTTCTGGTTCGCGGTAGTTGTAAGAAGGCTGCAAATTCAACGTCACATGTTGACAATATGTCATCGGTTTTGTCTCTGTTAGCATTGAAAAGGTAGGCACTCTGCGCATGTTATCACTTCTCCATCTCCATCCCTCTCTATCAGACCCTTTCCAACTCTGAGCACTTTCTACCCTTCACATAACAGCTGCACATCGAACCTACGCCCAAGATGATGTCCCAAGCAGCTCGCCAGGCCGAGAAGGTCATTGGCCATGGCGATAACGCCACCACCGCGCAGAACGTCACCAACCCTGGCAACGATGAGAGTACAGCCGACTACTCTGAGACAATGAAGGCTCTGGCGTGGTACGGCAAGAACGACGTCCGAATGATTGACACACCGAAGCCCAAGATTCTAGAGGATCGTGACGTTATCGTCAAGGTCACTGGTTCCACAGTCTGCGGTTCTGACCTGCACTTGCTTCACGGCGCTGTCGTGGAGATGCAGAAGGGCGACATTCTCGGACACGAGTTCTGTGGTGTCGTAGACGAGTGCGGCCCCGGTGTCACAAAGTTCAAGAAGGGGTACGTCTATCTCGAAGTTTTTGCTTGGAGGCATCGCTAATAAAGTATAGTCAACGAGTCGTTGCCTCCTTCCAGATCGCCTGCGGTGACTGCTACTACTGCAAACAGAAGCTGTCTTCACAGTGCGAGAAGACCAACTCAAACACAATTGAGAACGCAATGTACGGCGGCCGGACAGCAGGCATGTTCGGCTACTCTCACTTCACTGGGGGATATGCTGGTGGTCAAGCAGAGTACACTCGCGTGGCATACGGCGACGTCAACCTACTACCGCTTCCCGATGATGTTCCTGACGAGGCGGGTCTCTTCCTTTCTGACGTTCTGTGCACCTCATGGCACGCCGTTGTCGACACTGGTGTCAACAAGGGTGATGTGGTCGCCATTTGGGGAGCCGGCCCGATTGGACAAATGGCTGCGGATTTCTCTTTGATGCAAGGCGCATCCAGGGTCATCATGATCGACTCTAACTGGCGTCTCGACTTCGTCAAGGCCAGATACCCCAATGTCGATACTCTCGACTTCTCTACACTGGCCAAGGGCGAGTCGGTCACAAGCAAACTCAAGGAGATGTGCAACAACCGCGGTCCAGACGTCAGCATTGAGTGTGCTGCCGGTGAGTACGCCAAGGGCTGGGCACATTACTTCGAGATGATGCTCGGTCTCGAGACCGACACCAGCGAGCTCATCAACGAGATGATTACCAGCACACGGAATATGGGTCGCTGTGGTATTACTGGTGTATACGTCGGCTTCACCAACCACTTCAACATCGGTTCTCTTATGGAGCGTGGTATCCGTCTTATTGGTAACGGCCAAGCACCTGTTCACATGTACTGGGAGTCTCTCCTCAAGATGATCCAGGAGAAACGCATCGACCCGATGAAGATGGTCACCCACCGTGTTCGCCTTGAAGACTTGGACAAGGTCTACTACAAGTTCGAGAAGAAGGAGGATGGTATGCAGAAGGTCTTTGTTGAGACCAAGTGGAGTTTCCCAGCGTCCAAGGATAGCCCTGAGTTGACCAGGTACTAAGCCTGCTTTCATTATACGAGAACATGTAGCATAGTTTAATGATACCAACAAGAATGAAGTAAATAATTATTACATGAACATAAAGCCGTCAAAGACATGTTTTGATAAAGATGTAAATCTATTAATGTATGCATCATCATTTCGATTCAACTGACAATTAACACTATCATCCGAGGCTTATTGTAGGTGGAAACTTCGTCGACGCACAAACCCAATCGATATGCATGACAAAAGGTCGGGGTGTTATGACAATTTAACTCTGACCATTCTCCATCATCGTTTGACAATGTGTCCCATGATATAAACTTGACTTATTCCTTTCGCATGCTGGAGCTTCGACTCCTCCCTGCCCTCTACCGTTCTGTGCTCGTCTCATTGAGAGCTCGAGCAGCCTCTAACTCCGCTATGAAGGTCTTAAGCCTCTTCACATTTGACCACGCCATCCTCGTTTGGTAGTACTTTGGCACACTGAAAAGAAACCAGGCGATGACCCACAAATACCCAATAGCATACTCCGCGCTACGCAGCCACCTTGAGTCTGACCTGAAGCCTAACAACTTCCGCACCTTGCTCCACTGAGTCGCCACACACCACTCGAATATCATAGGTAGAATCTGCGCAACATAGTAACATGTGATAGCCCAACAATCGCCAGAAGGGTTCTGTTGCCACCGAACGAGTGAGTGCATAAGGCCGGATACGAAGAAGACAAGCGTATTCTCGACCATTCGCGTAACTGCACCGCGCTTCATACCCAGCCAGCCTCTCGTCACACATTTGATGTGGCCTGAGAATGAGTGATAGACATAATTGTGCCAATGCTTCGACCAGTACCTTCTCACCGACCACGCGTTACTAAATGGGCCAAAGAGACCTGTAGACCACTCTTCCGGGCCGTCTAGCCCCGAACCGACGTAGAGAACGGCGAACACACTGTGATAGCTTTCATACATCCATAAGGACAAGATGCACCAGTCGAACGTGAACTCTAACCGCCAGGTTATCTCTTGGTAGTCCATAGATGTTGGCAGTTGCTGGAAGAATTCCAAGAGCCCTGGTGTCATGTATGCGCTAGGTGGTAGGACAAGAGGGGAGTAGCGTGTTTCGTAGAGGTCGAACAACCTTTGGAGGCCATAGTAAACGAACCCCTTGAGGATATGGTAGCCGACAAATCTCCAGCGTGAGTAGCCGTGGCCTTCTTTCTCAGGTAGCACAACACCGTGCTGGATACGAGTGCTCCGTAAGATAGGTTCGTCAGTCTTCTTATCGGTTGCTGTATATTGCTCTTCTCCGGTCTTTTCTTTCGATGCCGAAACTCCATTGGGGTTTGTCGGTGATTTGTGCTGTTGTCTCTGTTCAAGTACCTGCGTGTGGTTCCGATCGAAAAGAACTTTGTATCCCTGTCTGATGCTTTCTTTAGTTTGTTCCTGTTCTCCCATGTCTTGCTTGTCCTTTGGCAGGACCGGCGCAAATTCTACGACGCAGACTTCGTAGCTCATGTGCGCGAACCATATTAGACACGTCCGCGCAAATGTGTCATTTACTAAGAAGTGTGGACAGAGTTGATCCGAGTATCGGAATGCATACCATGTTGGTAAGGCGAGGATGAAGATGGAGAGTATGCGGTAGAGACGCCTGGTTGGTGGGAAAGAGAGAATATAGAGGGCGTATAGTACGGCTGTGGTGAAGCACAGTATAGGTGTGGCACCGTTGATAAGTTTCCAGTCCTCTTGCAGGTACTGGCCAGGCATGATGGTCGTATGTGCGATGTGTTACGCAGCCGTGAAATCTTCCAAATGGTCTGAAGTGGCGGTATACCAAAGTGAGAAGATTGGGTTTTCAGAATTAAGAGTGAAATCTTTTTGGTGTGTGTGCAGGTGGGTCTATATAACTGTGGTCGCGAATGTCTAACCACGGTTGATGTGGTGGGGACTTACGTGAAGTTGTGGTAATAAGACTCCCGAGCCTTGTTACCTGTGAATGTCCACTCAGCTCGATTGCGAGGCGTGGATCCTCGAACCTAGGCTCAAACGTGGAGATGAGTGAAAGGCGGTTCTACTTCGCAGCGCGGCGATTTACCGATTTTCAGCATTCACCGATCTACTATCGTAGACCTTTAACTATTTAGTACTGTGAAAACAATCACACGATGCCGCAGTTCTATAGGTCGGGTAATAGAAAATAGTATGTTCCTTTCAGGCTCAGTCCAGTGATCACGGATGTTAGCCCGCTTTGTGATGCTTGCATGGCTTGCGCTGGAGTAGACCTTCTAGTTCAAACCATGGTTTTTCAGACAATGGAAACAGGGTCGTTGTCAGAGGCTC